CCGTCCACCTTGTTCCAACCTAAGTTTGGCATTTTGGAGGCGCGTGTTCGGGCTCCGGCTTTGGACATTCTGCAAAGCATCAGTGTAGAGCAGATGTTCCACGACTTCGCGGTCGGGGACATCATCAAAGATGTGAAGCAGGCCGAAGCTGTATGCGCTGCTGGGCTGGAGATTAAGTCATGACAAATCGTGCCTGTTGCTTTCATGGTCTCCCTGTTAGTAGCATGTTGCAATTCTCGTTTCCCGAGGAAGAGTTTTGCCGCAGTGTCACCCTGGGCATGGTCTGGTTCCGCGGACAGCGGATTGCCCTGCGGGCTGCGGCAGCTTGGAGGGATCCTGCCAGAGGGGTGGCTGATCGCTGCTTGCATTGCTCACTGTCTTCGAACTTAGCATGCCCTACCTCGGCTTCTGCTGCAGGGCTGGTGCCCACTGCATGCTCGAAGAGCTGCCTGCTGGCCACGTCCTTCATGGCGATGGAGAAGTGGGTTGGACACGAGACGGATTTGAAGCATGCGCCTCATATTGCGTGAGGAGTTTTTCAAGGAGCGTGCTTGTGTGTGGAGTTGAGGCCCTGTCACAGAGTCTGCGGGCCAGTGACACGCTGAAGTCTCTGCAAAGGACTGCCCGTCTTCCAGGCGCGAGGATGAATTTGCGCGTGCGTGTGCGGAATTCAGGAAGCTCTTCTATAGTGAATGAGTGATTGTGATACGGCCGGACCGCGGCACGTACTGCGTGTGAAAAGCGCGCGAGAGCGGATGCTAGCTAGCACGGGGAGTTGGGCGAGGTCTTTCGGGATTCCCTCTTCAGGATGTCCTCTACTTTCGTAGAATTGCTCTTTTGGCTCCATGATTGCTCATACTGGGAGAGAGAGCGACAGAGCTGGCGACAGAGCGAGAGAAGGCCAGAGAGAGCGCGAGAGAGAGAGAGAGAGAAAGTGAGAGAGAGAGAGAGACGACTGACTTTCAAGACAGCTCGCCGCCCTGATCATAGAGGGGCCGGAACAGTTTGTGACATAAGTTCCTTTATGCTTACACTGAAGCGTCTTACACAGCCTGTCCTTAACAAAACCCTTTGCTCGATGGGGGTTTGGGGTTCTCTTGGGTTTCAGGATGTCAAGGGCTTTGGGCTTCACGGTTTCATTCATAAATCCCACTGAATAGGCGAAAGGTAAGTCCCCCCACCCCCCGAGTAAGGCTAGCTTTCGACGGCTGGAGGTCGTGCTTGCACAAAAGCTTACGATTTAGGGTGTTGGGTTTTATTGATGGGTCCCTGAAGGAAATATCAGGAAAAAGGAGGCCCGACATAGTATTGAATGCCATCGCACGGTTTTGTTGCCAAGACTATGTACACAAAACCCTGAGCCCCAGAAACGTCTCGCGCTTTTCTAGGCTTTAGGTGGCGGATATACGGAATCCGACCAGTTGGTAACATTATTCTTAGGACTCCGTATTAAGATTCCATTCTAGCGTACCCCAAGGCCTTACTCTAATCATCAAGGCCCCTATATGACCTAGTTGCAACGTTGATTAACTTCGCTCACCGCGGATTGATGTGGGGTCGGGTCACTTCCTTGGTCAAGGTACCTACCTGAGTTACTTGACTCCGGCCGGAAACGGCGCAGCATGAGATTTCCTTTCCAAACATCCAGCATCCAATCCAACGAGCTTCAACACATGCTTATTTTTTAGCACAGCGTGACGATGCTGGTGCGGGGATGCTGCTGCAGGACGGTGTTGATTGCAAATAGGCTCCATCAAAAAAATACCCGCTGCCGCTAAAGACCTTGCACGGCTCCGTGGAGGCAGCTCTAAGCACTTTCCGACGAGTTCGTCATCACGTCACAGCCGACGACAACTTTGGTGACAAACAAGCACCTTGCAAATGGGAAAATACACACCGGCCTATTGCTTGCAATCCTTTGCCAGCATTTTATGGCGAGACATCCACACATAGCCTAAGAAGAGTTGCATGTTTCTGCTCGAGCAAGCCGCGGACAGCATGAGTCTTATATCGGCCATTACGAATACATTAGGCCAGGTCTCGTAAAGGCATTATGACGTCCCGACCAGAAACCGGAAGCGTCAGGCCGTAGCTTCAACACCCCGGCCACGTTTAAAATCAGGCCATTCAGCTCCAGGTCGAGGAACTCGGAGTCCGTGAGAATATGTCCGATCCGATCGCGTTGAGCCTGCCGCTGCTAATACCAATTTCAGCGGTCGTCGTGAGACATCCTTCCGTGAGCAACAGAAGATGCGGCATCAAACTATAGATCTCTCTGGAAATCGAAAAGACGGTGTCATAGTTTGCAAGTCAGGACGAACATCGGACGCAAGTTTCGCAGCAGCAGCAGAGCGCAGAGGCCACAGGTCCTTTCGCAGCTAAACAAAATTATCGGTGCTCCTTGCATGCACGAGAACCCGCAGCGCATCCTGCATGGGACAAAGCAACTGTACTGGGCCTCACGCACCTTTATTCCGGCTACGACAAGTATGTGAAGAAAAGGCAGACTGGACATGCTGCCGGTTCAAACTTCTGCCACCTGAGGCCTGCTGAGTCAAGTAGTGGTGCAACTGTGGTTCAAAAGCTACAGGACCCAAGCATGCACCCCAAGAAGTTCAGTTTGCTGAATGAGGCACCCCCTCATTTTCTGAAGATGCTTATCAAACCGAATCAAGCCTTTTGATCCTGAGTGCGCTTCCGAGGTGTCAGGCCGCCCTGCCGCAACGAGAAGGGTTGGGGCTCGAGGGCAATATAGGTTTGGTATGCAAGTTTTGCAAATTGTTCCAAGTTTCTATGGGTGTTGGTGGTTGAGGGCTCTTTTGTGGTTGTTCAAGACTTTTTGGGAGGATTAGAAGGGACTGACAAAACTTTGCCACGGCTTGAAAGGGGGGTGTTTTAGGCGTCCCTGGAAAAATGGGCTTGATACCGGTGCTATGGTTGTGTTAGGGGCTTATCTTATCAGGCTGGACCTGGCTGTATTATGGTCTTAACTTGTCTCCCTCAGGTTTTGATGAGGGCTTGATCAGGGTTCAGTCAGGGTCTCTGTTTTTTTATTCGGACCTAGCGAGAGTTGACAACTTGTCAAAATAAATCACTCTACGACTATCCGACTATCCTGTATCACTAGAATCGCGGAGAGTCTTTTTAATCGTGCAATGTTCAAAGCACTAGCCAGGAACCAGGGCTGCCCTCCATCACCTGAACCCTGTAGGGTCCATCTTCAACGCTTTGGGTTTAGATTGTGGATACGATGAAGCATTAGCAAGTGCATGTTTCTGCTGGTTTTTCCGGCGGGGTATTCGTGGTTCAGGGTTGCCGTGCCGTGCATCGGATTTCCGAATCGATATTCACATGTCCAGCGAAAGGGAATTTGCACAAAATCTTCAAGCCCAAATTCTCCAACCTCGAACCCTGCGACGGTCTGGACGCAATCGCGCTGGAAGGCTTCCTGGCATTCGGCGACAAGACGCCGCAGAATTTGCTCGAGGTTGGCCGATGCGACATGCGGACAAGCCATGTGGGGTAAGCCCTCAATGAAATCTGGGAGCAGACACTCCAAAAACCATGTAGTTTTGCAAGATACTCTAAATTATGGGGGGATCCTTCTTTTGATATATGTTGGTCTAGACCTGTTTATTAAGGTGCCTATGTTTAGGGTTAGGGTTCACACAACAAGGTTACTTTGCATGAGTTAAGCTATAGTCACTATAGCCCTTAGCCCAGGGACCCCAAATCCAAAAACCCACCGCCCCCGAAACCCCCCTAAACCCTAAGCCTAAGCCCCAAAACCTAAACCCCAAAAAGCAGACCCAAACCTCAACCCTAAATCCGAACCCCCCCCCCTCCTTTCCCCCCCCTTCACCCGGCCCCAGGCCTACTCGCCCGATGATCCTCTCGCCTTGATCGGTCGAAGCTCGGCGGGCTCCACCGGTCATTGAGGGTCGGAGTCGCAGGCAAAAAAAAAGGAAGAGGCCGAGGGCCGAGAGGGTTTAGGGCTTAGGATATTTAGGGCTTAGAGTTGAGGGTTTAGGGAAGAGGGTTTTGGGTGAAGGAAGAGGCCTACAGAACGAAGCAGGGTTGCTTGAGTGTTTTGCGAGGGTTGTTATATGGGTTGAAAGGTGTCGGAGGAAGGTGAGCCTGAAACAGAAGATCCTTAAACCATATTCTGTTAATGGTCTCGTTTAGGGCAAAGTTTAGGGTTCGGGTTTAGGGTTCTCTCTATAGTCGATTATGGTATATTTTGTAGCTTCGGGTTTGGGCAGCCCTAGCTCTGAAACGACTGCCGCTCAGGATGCCTCATGGCATTGACTGTCCTGGTAGCCGTGGCAACGAACACCAACCCCACGGCACCTGGCGAGCAAGGAGTTTGAATGCAGAACTCGCAGTCGAGGTGTGGGGTTAATGGACAGTCCCCGTTTGAGGGTTGAGGTTTCACGGCCACAATGCGAGAAGCTTGAGAGACATTAGTTTTGATCAGACATGCTACCACTATACACTCTGTGTGGTTGCTGCAACGGTTATCGTTGTCAGTCTTGTAAGTCTATCAAGCCCCCAATTGAGAGGAAACTTAGGAACCCTGCACCCCACCAGGCATGAGCCTGAACCGGTGATGTCGTCAGCCCAAAAGACAAAGCCCGATTTCAAAGGAGGAACCTTCAGGTACTTTGAACCGTAATATAGGGGCCTGAATTGGGCTCCTTTATACCATAATTATACTAAGGAACCCTAAGGAACAGCATTGGTCATTATTTAGGCTTCTATATTGCGCCCCCGAACCCCCTTAAGTCTAACCTTGGGCTACTTCCTGTTACTATTCCCCCTTTGCGTTTCCCAAACGCTTCGTAGTATAGACACGCCCCACCACTCTGGCTTAGGTTGTTACGGACCTCTATCTCAAACCCTTGAACTTTAGGGTTCAGGGTTTGGGATCTAGCCAGAACTCCAAGAGCCACGGTTTAGGGTTCGGGGTTTGAGAAATTTTGGCACATGGACTTTCTGAGGTCCGCGCGGGCCTCTGCCTTTTGGAGGTGCTCATGCCCTCACATGTTATATGGGGGGACTTAATAAATGGAATAGGGTTTCGGTAGTATATTTGTACTATAAACCGAATCAGGAGCCGCCAAACTAGTGTTGATAATTATTGAGGCCCCTCGCTATGTTACATACAAAGAAATGGGTGCCATGAGGGCATGAATAAGTAGGATAGGGTTCCTCTCTACCGTGGCTTGCAGAGGTTTTATAGCTTCCTCCGAGGCTTGTCCAAGTACCATAATAAAAGGCTAGTAGCCTTTAAGCGTTCGTAGTTAGGTTTGGGGCTTGGGGACTAGAAAAGTTCGGGGCTTAATTCCGGGCTTAAGGCTTAGGAACTTCGAGCTGTGCACAAAATACCCACGTTCGAGTAAACCAACATATGACTCCGAGTAGTTAAAGTTTGGGGTAGGGGCTTTGACGGCCATTCAAACTGGAGACCTCAATCGGGCTCGGGGCTTAGGGTATTAACCTCGAGCCGCAGATTGCATTAGGAGTTCCTTGAACCCCAGCAGCCCGACAGCGAACACGTCTGATGCCTGCGCCTTTAAACCCCCACCGCCAAGCCCTAAAGTCCTGCAGCAGGTCCAGGTGGAGAGCATCCGGGATCATGACTACGGCATCAGCATTTCGGAGCGCAACAAGCCGAGACTTGTGGTTTCGGGTTGTGGATTGCCGCTTAGGCTTTAAGGTTTGCCCGGAGGTGACGGCAGAAAGACGTGGGAGTTTCCGAAAATTAGGGTACCTTATTTTGGGGTCCTTATAATATGGATCCTATTATTTAGGGTACTATATTAGGGTCCCCTATTTTCGGAACTCCCACGTAGGATTGCATATTACAGAGGCGTGGTTAGTAAGATAAATCGCCTGTCTGAGCAACCAATTAGCAACACTGTTTCTGAGGTTCCTCAGTGTGGTTATCGTATGAGTTCTTCCCAAGGGCCTATTCTATTTCTGAAGACCCGAATGTATATATATATATATACATACATACATACATACATACATACATACATACATACATACATATGTATATACATGTTACATATATATAGAGAGAGAGAGAGATAATCCGTTGATTCATATAAGGGCCTGACAGCAGAGCCAGCCGGGTAATGTTAAGCATGGGTCTACATCCACCGAAGCCACAACAAAATGACGGCCGTTACGGCCCAAACCTAAACCCTAGATGCCACAGAAAGAGAGCCCATTGCACTTAAAAACAAAACCTAAGCCTGATCTGGACACCTTAAGCCTCATGAGAGAGGTGCAGGCAGGCTCGGAATGTTGAGGTTTAGTGTAATTACGTGCAGTGGGGTACCCCTAAACCCTAAACCCTAAACCCTCAACCCTATAAACCTTAAACCCTGAGCCCAACGTCCTGATGGAGATCCAGCAAGATCTTCGACCTAAGGCTCGGGATAAGGGAACTTGGAGGGTCGGGGGACTTAGTAAATGGTTATTGGTTTAGGGTTTAGGGTTTAGGGTTTAGGGTTTAGGGTTTAGGGTTTAGGGTTTAGGGTTTAGGGTTTAGGGTTTAGGGTCTAGGGTTTAGGGGACTTATAAGTAGTATTACCCCAATTAGGGTCCCTTTTAGGGCACTTATAAGGCTACAGGCTACCTATTGCCTGCTTACTAAGTCTCCCGACCCTCCATTGCGCTTTGGAGGCCACCGTGGGGAACGGTTTAGGATTTAGGGCTTAGGGTTTAGGGAAGTTGAGGGCTTAGTGTTTTGGGGAAGTTTAGGGTTTAGGGTTTGGGGAAGTATAGGGTTTAGGAGTTTAGGGTGTAGGGTTTGGGGCTTAGGGGCCACTGTGAGGAACTTGTGCGTTTGTGAATGTACCTACAGCTACATGACCCTAAGGGTCCAAGTACCCAAATAGTTGGGTTTCAAGGTCCAAAAACCATTCAGAGTATGGATTTTGGGACCTAAAACCTTACTATTGGGTACTCGGACCCTCTGGGTGATGGACTTGCACGAGTTCTCCAGCATCCTACGCAAGGCGGATCCTTGGAGTGCATGGTGACGACTTTAGGGTTTAGGGTTTAGGGTTTGCCTCTGATACAACATGACACAATCCGCACGTGACTGTCGCCAAGTCTCCTAGCGCCTGGCAGCCACTTCTTGGAAGCGAGCTGTTCATCCGTCCAGGGGCTCTTCTCCCAGCCCACTTTCAATGTCGTCTCCACCAACAAGTCCTGGGTCTTCTCAGGCAAGGTCTCCATAGAGGTTCTTCACTGCCTGGGCTTTGGCCGCAACGAGCTTAGCCCGCTCGGCAGATCCCTGGTTGTATAGGGTTTAGGGTTTAGGGTTTAGGGTTTAGGGGTTAGGGGTTAGTTGATATCTTCTAGCATGGGCTGTTGCGGCTCTGAGATGGCCTCCCCTGCGCCTGATGACCCTCAGTACTTATTCGTTGATAGGACATAGTAACTTGGGTGGATCCCCCCAATGAAGTAGTTAGGACTTCTAACCCCCATTTACTACGCAAGTCCCCCGATGCAACTGGTACTGAGAGGGCAGGGTCCTCATCATGGGGCTGGAAGACAAGGGGCCTTCAATGATATCGCTGGGCGACTCACCACTAGTCTGGTCTGGACAGTGGTTCTCTCTACAGGCAGGGGTCGTGCGCCTGTTGGGCACGATCGTCGTAGATTTGATCAGTGTGATCCTAGGTGGCCGATCAGAGGTGGGAAATGGGAAACATCAATGAAAAATGCTCCTACCCTAAACCCTAAACCCTGAGTATAGTGCGTAAACCCTTGCACCCTCAAACCATAAGACTTAAAGCACGAAACTCCAAATCCTAAAGCCTTCAGGCCCCAAAGCCCTAAATCCCAAAGTCCAAAACCTTAAGCCCCCAAGCGCCCGTTCACCCAAGGCTCGCAACACTCCCTGTCCTTAGTAATGCTTCGAGGAATGGATCCCTATGAAAATCCCTTAGAGTCCCTTATAATAGTCCCTAGAATAGGGCCCTTAAGAATAAGGTTTTGAGGCATATCGTACTAAAAGTATATAGTATTCGTAACTACCCACCCTAGACCCTAAACCCTAAACCCCTAAACCCCCAAACCCCTAAACCCATAAACCCCTAAACCCCTAAACCCTAAACCCCTAAACCCCTAAACCCTAAACCCAATTCCGGCCTTTCCCGATGAAGAACCAAGGAGAACAGTTCCCGAGCCCCGTGCTGCTGCATCCCAGAGTCTGCAAAGAGTGCTCCGGTGGCCTCTACTTTAAAGGAAACTACAGGTGGGGAGTTAAGGGTTTAGGGTTTGGGCTTCAGGGTTTTAGGGTTTAGGGTTTAGGGTTTAGGAAACTGCCGGTGGGGAGTTTAGGGTATATGGGGCTTCTATAAAGCTTCTATAAGGCATATAGACCTTCTATAAGGCTCCTATACCCTAAACCCTAAACCCTAAACCCTAAACCCTAAACCCTAAACCCTTCTATAAGGCTCCTATAACGGTAACTACCCACCTGAAAATGTCCTATAAACCACTGGGGTCTTCGGGCTTAGGGCCTAGGCTTTAAGGGCTTTTAGGGGTTTAGGGTTTAGGGTTTAGGGTTTAGGGTTTAGGGTTTAGGGTTTAGGGTTTAGGGGTTTTTAGGGGTTTGGGGCTTTAGGGCTTGGGGGGTTTTAGGATTTAGGGGGTTTAGGACTTTAGGGTTTGGGGGGTTTTAGGATTTAGGGGGTTTAGCTTAGAGCTTTAGGGTTTGGGGGGTTTAGGGTTTCGGGTTTAGCTTAGAGCTTTAGGGTTTGGGGGGTTTAGGGTTTAGGGTTTAGTTTAGAGCTTCAGGGTTTGGGGGGTTTAGGGGTTTAGGCACTTTAGGGTTTAAGTTGCAACGGGATTTTGGTGGGACGTAGGGTGGCAGAGTAGGATCCTGCGTTCAACATGGCTCCTCAAAAGGCTCTATACCCTACACACTGAACCCCTAAACCCTACATCTAAGCCCTGGCTTGAAACCCTAAGCCAACAGCCCTGGACCGCCAGCCACAAACCGAGACCCAGTGTGCGAACCATCTGTCCGGAAACCCTAAAACCCCAAACCCCAAAGCCAACCCTAAAACCCCAAAACCCTAAACCCTAAACCCTAAAACCCAAAACCCTAAACGCTAAACCCTAAACCACTAAACGCCTAAACCCCTAAACCCCTAAACCCCTCAACTCCAAACCCTAAAACCCTAAAGCCCCTCTTCGCTGTTGGCAGCCTCGTCTATCCACTGCAGATGGCCTTCCTCGAAGTTGACGCGTATCCTGGAGGGGTGCTTGGGGTTTCAGACGACAGGACTCGAGGCTCCTGCGGGTGTAGGGTTTAGGGTTTAGGGTTGGTGCGGACAAAATAGATGCTGCCATCCTCTGAAAGTAGGAGCCATTCATTGCGACCATTGTGAAAGCATCTGAAGCAAAGCGCTTGGTGGTGAAGCAGGCCTTGGTACGGTTCCCAAACCACCTCGGTCCATGCTTCTTCCTCTCCATACGCATTATTGCATGGCATTATGGCGCCACACCGCCTGCTGAGTCAAGACTTGCCCCGAGGGAGAAGCCATCTCACTGCTGACGATATAGATGCTCCAAGTCTCGTCGTCGATTCTCAGTGACAGCTCGCAAAGTCTCAATCTGCACACGCCGCGCTTCACGATAGCGCATTAGGGTTTAGGGTTTAAGGTTTAGGGTTTACGGTTTAAGGTTTGGGGCTATAGGGCTTTAGGGCTTTAGGGCTTTAGGGTTTGGGGTTTAGGGTTTAGGGTTTTAGGCTTTGGGGCTTCAGGGTATTAGGGTTTGGGGTTTGGGGCTTCGGTTGGGGATGTTTAGGGTTTAGTGCCTTGGGGGTTTAGCCTCTAGCACTGTACGGGCTTAGGGCACAAAGCGGCCTGGTTCGGAATGGCGGGTTAAGCAGTATCTAAGGACTTTAGGAGGGACCCCTAAAGGGACCCCTAATCCCATTACCTTAAATAACCATTGTATAGTCCTTGTATACCCCTTAACCCCAATAACCTACAAGGGTCCCTATTAACGGTCCCTCCTAAAGCCCTTAGACAGTAGTTTGCAGGACCGGCTTCCCAGCTGAAGAGTCACTGTGAAGCCGTGAGGCTTGCGGCTTAGGGTTTAGACCCCGGGAACCTCCCTTTCTAAGGACTTATATAAGGAAATCATCACCAGGAACCCTAGAAAGTGAGGTTCTGAAGGGTCCAGGTCGGGTTTAGGGTTTAATTTGTTTGTTGATAAGGCCTTTTCACTCCACTTGGCACAAGCCTTTGTGAATACCTTGGACAGATAGAGCCGTGCGACACCCGACAAGTGGGAGCTTCAGCAAATTACTCAGACACGACAATTAAGGAACATACATTAAAAAAGAAGAGGAACCCTGATGAGATTTAAGGCATATCCCTAAACCCTAAACCCTAAACCCTAAACCCTAAACCCTAAACCCTAACCCCTAAACCCTCCACTTAAGGGAAATTGGAGTCTCTTGGCAAGGAAACGATTTATGGAAGCCTAAGCAACCGGATCCGAAGTGCAGAAAAGGATCCCCGTTTAGGGTTTAGGGTTTAGGGTTTTAGGGTTTTAGGGTTTAAGGGTTTAGGGTTTAGGGTTTTGGTGGTTTGGGTTTCTTAAGTTTAAGATTTCGAGAATGGAGCCCAGAAACGAATACACACCTC